TTTTTTTTTTTTTTCAATATATTAATGATTCTATTGTATTTATATATTTATTGTAATTAAGAGGACCACAAGTTTATTAGTGTTTGTGCACTATCACGTGCTATCCTCAATAAATAAAAGTCTAAAGCTATACGCTATGCCTATCTATACTGCGGTAATCCCGGCGGTAGCGTAAATCAAACCACAAAATATTTCGCGACGTATTTCGATCCCAACGGAAGCGGTTACAGCGATTACTGATGTTTCGGGCTGAACCGCTCCTGCAGCGTGGATGTAAGTTTTTTCAGCACCCTGGGCGTTAGTTTGAAGCAGAGATTCTTTTTCTTCTTCTTTTTCTTCTTCTTCTTCTTCTTCTTCTTCTTCTTCTTCTTCTTCTTCTTCTGCTTTAATTGGTGAACATGGAATCTTGTCTGTAAAAGTGGGTGAAAAATATTTTATTTTTGTTTCGATTGATATAATATCCCGACGTTACCGCGACTTCATGACGCCATTATCAAGGGTACAAATGAAAATAAAATTAACAAATGCGAGTTCATGAGTTACAACTCATTTGCATAGGGGAGGTAGCTAGACATATACTTTAGCACGGATAGAATCCGTTTGCATGTTCAAACTCGGTGTTAATTGTTTGATGTAAAGCATCTCGTTGACAAGACAATCGAATTTGTTCATGCACTTCTTGAGAACTTTGAAACAGCTAGGAAGGTCCTTAGGGACAGCACCTGCGTGGTCGTTGTCGTAGTGCTTGCGTACTGAAGATGACGTGCTCTTATGGCTATCACGTCATCTTCAGTACGCAAGCACTTCTAATGTCTATCTCCATGGGCAACTTACCTAAATCAAACATATATACATGTAAAGATATTGAATTATGCCAATACTTTCGGTGGTGGTTGTGGTAACGCTAAATGTGTGTTCAGTCGACAGGATGCAATTGAAAATTTCTTTCATCGGAATTATTGATAACTTCTTCAAAATACCCTTATCATTTTCAGTTTCTTCCCTTCGGTAATTGGATTGCGACCAATTGCTGTAAGTTATAAGCCCAGCGTATCAGTCACAATGTCAACAACATTGCGTTACTTACGTCCGCATTCTCAGACATGAGCGTTAGCTCGTCAACCACGTGAAAGGCGTAATATTCGTCATATTTTGTATTTTTCCCTACCCCTTTTATTTATTTACCAAATGTGTATGTGTCTAGCTTTGTCAGTTTAATGATAATATAGCCTCATGAGTCTGCCGTCCTCTGCTTACAACGCAAATTTTTCACACGCGTAAAGATACTTATTTTTGACGGAGAAATTGAGCAAGCTTACAAGTTAGAACTTGAAACAAAGATCGGATTTAGCAAGCGCACATCAGTAACTCACATTAGACGAAGTAGTGCAGGTGTACTTTTCCTTCCATGCTGTGAACTGAAATTTTTCACTGAACCTGCTCACTCTAAACTATTGAACTTGCTCGCTAAATTGTTAAGTTCTAGTTGATTTTATTAAAAGTTAAACATACTCTGATACTCAAATCTGATCCTCAAGCCGATTTTCAAAGGTGTACGGAATTAAGAAAATAGGAACCCAAAAAGAATAGTTTACCTTTCCATGCAATTTTTGATTTCATTTTCCCTTTTTTGTTTCTTTCGTGTTGTTTACATACACTTACCTCTACTAGCAAATGCATTTACTATTTCACGGATCACTTTGTTGCTGTCTAGAGTCGTGTCTTCAATGGTATTCAGCTTTTTGTTGTTGTTTTCAGATATGTCTTCAATGGTATTAAGCTTTTCCTTGATGTTGTCATCATCTTTTTTCCATTGTTCTAGAAGGCCTAAAAAATGTTGTCCGTTTTCAGGATCCATGCATTTAGTCTCTAGTCTCGCTATGTCTTTCGCATAACTCGCACCTCCAAATCTCACTAATACAGTTTGGATGTCTTTCCAGTAAATGTTGAAGTGATGATCGTCCACAGAGGCTTTCGGGGCATGAGCGTACACGTCATTTCTTAAATGCCTTATTCGCATAATGTCTGCTACTGGGCAAAAATCCATCGGATCTGGCGGGTTATTCCAACCTTTCTTTGGATTACCTAGGCCACAGATGTTTCTCCTGAGGACACACAAAAGGGAAATGTCAAAACGTTGGGATGAAACGTTTTTAGGAATAACTGGGTACAAAAGGTTCCATTGTGAATTATGTAGCACTCCTTTGGATCTCAGATGCCCTAGTGGACCCTTTTTATTGAGTAGCTCTATGTGAAGGGTTGCCGGCGCGTGGATACCATCGAAAAAATCACGTAAGACTTCGGTGCCAATTCCAATCAGCAGCTGACAAAGACGAGCATAATTAGTTGCTTCACTGTTGGATGCCATCTCGACGTAATCGTTGTGATTCAAACCTGAGACTGAATAATTCAACAGTTCGAGGTTTAGAGCATTTTCCTCCAATCTGTGATTACAACCATCATAAATTTTGGTAAATAAAATTTTCCAACAGGAACAATGGGTCAAATGATCATCATACTAGCTGATGAAAATTATGGTAGTGATAGAAGGGGAAAAGAAGAGAAAAACTAGCATATTGAAAATCTATCCGGCGTTGACGTTATTTGATCATTTATTAAAAGTTTGATTATGCTTTGTTGTGAGACCGCTCAGCGGCGCCCATGGTTTCACTTTAGGACTTTTCTGAACAACTTTAGAGTAGAAATGGACGAAAAAGAAGATAATAGGGGAGTAAAAGTAAAAAAGAAAGAAAAAATAAGCATGCAGTCTCTCTAAAAGCGATCCAGTAAATTTCAGTTAAAAATCGATTCTTTCAAATTTACTGCGCGTTGTGTTATCTTTTCTCGTTTCTCCATTGGAACGCGAAACACTTAGGAATCATTTTCCTCTTGTTTTTCGTTGGGTCAAATTGTCCACTAAATTTCCTTTTTCGTTTTTAACCAAAGGCGGCACGATTAAACCAATTTGACCCGCAAAATCCTTCTTTCACCGCGGTTAATCTCCTCCGCGATCGTTGGGCAAGACGAGTTTTTCCATTCACGCACCTACGACCATAACGTGATGCACAGCCTGTTTGCGCAATGACAACTGCAGGCACCGTCCTTAGTTTACAGTCATTTTGTGTAGGAAAACGTAGTCTGTAATCTTACGATAACCCGCGACATGAACTGATTTATTTCAGGTCCTCTCTCCTCAGTTAATAAAGACTAACAGACTCTACAGACCTTGGTTGCGGTTCTCTCTTGTCAACACCAAGAAGGTCACAAAGAAACTTTGTTGCCTGAATTAATCATGCGTCACGCAACAATGCACAGCTTTAGCTTGTTAAGGAAAAAATTACTCTCAATTTTTATATCAAGTAATTGTAATAATTATGTTATGTGGATGTATGTATCGTCCCTAGCGACCCCTTTATCTCCAGTGAGATTATTGTAACTCGGGTTTTTTAATTCATCCCCAGGATGCAAAAGAAATCTAGGGCGCAAATTTGGTCCATATCATTATGGACGGTGTACTATTGTTTATAGATTACCACGATTATGAATTGTTCGGTTTTCTTCTACGTAGGAATTGCTTTAAACTGAATTCCCACACACTCATAAGAATTAAGGTTATACCACTTGTAGTTGTTGATGCAAACGATCCAGATGCTGTGACAGACGACAAAAATTATTTTAAGAGTTCTTAGTAATTCATTAAACATCTAATTAAACAGCAGTCTTATTGTTCTGAGGGTACTTTGAATATGCAAGGCGCTAAATCACTGAATCATTGCCAATTTCTGGGAAGCAAGAATAAACAAAACATGACGACGTCGTCACTTTTCTTTGATATCTCTCTCATAATACTGATGATATGTTTACGCAAAGGCTACACACAAACTTGGATTTATGAGGTTTTGCTTCTGTCCTAATTTTGGAGTGGTTTGAGTCCGACACGGAACGTAGAAACGTTGTCACCTGTTATTTGCAAGTAATTTTGTACGCAATAGAATCTTAATCGAATACAAAGATGCTTCAGCATCATACCATCTCTCGCAAGATCACAATCAACTTCGTCCTATTTATCATCCTGTCTCTATTGTAAACTCTTTAGTTCTACTTGATGTACAAGCTGCCTGCCATCGCCAGCATCCCGATGGGACAAGTAAGTCCTTTAGTTTCACTCAGTGTTTTACAATCTCCTCACCCTATCAAGCTTAGTGCTTCCAGAATTTGAAAGTTAACAAACAATTTCTCAGGCTACATAGACAAAAACATGAGAGGTAGATGATACGCGCTGGAATCCATAAAGGATTTTACTTAAAGTGGGATAAATTGGTTTCCTTTGCAGCCGGTTTAGTCTCGCGGGGGAGAGAGCGCAGCCAAACACTGGCTGTGAAAGAGACTAGTATAAAATACTTATATCAGAATTTAAATTCATTGGATTCAATCTTCTTGTGAGTGATCTACCACACGGTGACCAGTCCTAGCCTAGATTTAACTTGAACTTTTTGAGAGAACACTGATAGTATTTGAAATAAGCACGCATTCACATAAAACTGTGGATCACTTTTTATCTGATAACCAGTTCTACAGCTACATTTTAAGTAAACAAATCTGATAATGTCCATTATTGTTCGGTCTTTATTCAAAATAGGGATTCAGGCCCTTCAGTGCCTCTTTATTTGTAAGCAGTCCTCGCTGGCTGCATTTCAAGCCCAACCTCAACAGTTTGTCGGATAGCAAGGCCAGATGATATGTAATCCTACGTTACTAAAAAAGTTGCAAGGGAGATTCCAACCCAAACGGATGACACAGCATTTAAGGGATACTTCAGGAAATCGTTTTGCAGCATCGACTGACGAGCTGACGAGAATTTTAGCGAAAGAAACCGAGTAGGACTTTGGCCAAGTCGTATTTTTAAGACATTAAGACTCACTTCTGTTTTACAAACAGCTTACCGTGTTCTATTGGCTGTTATTTCGTAATTTCCGTGTTGAGCCACATGAATACCTGCAAACGGCATTTGAAGAGATAAATAACGGACATACATTAGTTTCAACTTTCGACCACGAGATCTAAAGGAAGCATTAGTTATCGGTTGTTTATTCTCACTACCTTAATTACAGAAAAAGAAAGATCTTCTGCCTCCGTCCTTTAACGTATCCGCGGCACTGAAGCTAGGATTTACGTACTAAAGTTCCTTAACACTTGACGGTTTCAGCGTCATGCTATTTGCCGCGCTAGTATAAATAAAACAAAATGACGGAAAGAAAGAAAGATAGACATAAAGAAAAGTTTGCCCAACGTTCGGTTACGTGAAATTTGCAGAGTGATAGAAATTTGATTCCGAAATGTTTTGAAACAGGAGAATTGTCTGCTGCACTTTATGTCAGGTCATAGCTAAATCCGTGTTCTTTTCGCCGTTTCTTTGGTAATTTCCTTTCTAGACAACAAAATCTTTGAATAGGGGTTACCTGGAGATTCTAGAAAAGATACAGAATGGACACTGAGTTGGAATTAATTCCAAAGAGTTATAAAGGAAGAATACATCAGTTGTTCATTCTCACAACCTTAAACACAGAAAAAGAAGGGTCATCTTTTTCTGCCCCAGAACGTGTCCACGTTAATCAGCAGTAGTAAAGTTTCATTTGAGTAAAAGTGTTCCTTCATAAGTCAGGTCCCTTAAGTTTTAAAGCTGAGCTATTGCCCCGCTAAAATAAAAAGAACAAGGTAGGAAAGTTAGGAAG